CGCGCGGCGGTCGACCAAGCCATGAACAACGGCACCACGCCGCTGCTCGTCGCGTGCGTCCAGGGCCACCTCGAGGTCGCCAAGCTCCTCTCCTCCTACGGCGCCTCCCGCGCCGCCGTGCCGCCCCTCGGCACGCCCGAGGAGGTCGCGAACCGCCGCCGCCACGCCGACCTCGCCGCCTGGCTGGTCGCCAGCCGCGGCTGGACGCCGCTCCAGCACCTCGAGGCGTGCCCGAGACTAGCGGCTGAAGAAGTGTGAGTGCATTGTCCTCACGCTCACTGTCCCTCTTCCTGCAGGCGCTCACCGTCGACCGGGCGCGGGCGCTGCTGCGCGGCGGCGCGGACTCTTCCTCCGGCGAGCCGTCGGCCCTCGAGCGGGCGCGCGTCCTCTGCTCGTGGGGCGAGTCGGATCCGACCGCTGTGGCCGTCGGCTCCACCGTCGCGATCCACTCTCTCGTCTCACGGCCGTCGATGAACGGCAAGGTCGGCGTCGTCGTCTCCGCGAGCGTTTCGACGGGACGCTTCGGCGTGCGCGTGGCGGGCGAGGCCAAGGCCCTCGCACTGAGGCGCGCTATGGTCCCTCCCCCACTCGCCGGATCCTCTCTTTGGACACGCCCCACGCCTCTGCCCTTCCGCAGGCCGGCCAACCTGGAGCCAGCGGCCGAGGCGGTGGAGGTGGGCAGGCTCATCCTTAAGGCGGCGGAGTGGTCGCCGCAGTCGCACGAGCTCTTCCCGGAGGCGGCTCGCAAGTGGGCGGTCGAGGTGATGCGGCTGGGCTACCTTATCGCGTGGGACGAGGAGCGCTTCGACGGCGAGGGGGCGGCGCCGGGGCTGGTGGACCTCTGGCGCACACACGTGCTGCCGCACGCGGTGAGGCGCTGAGGCGCCGAGTGAGGTGAGGATGCGAGTGCGATGCGGAGAGAGAAGAGAGCGGAGCAGCAGCGCGTGCGTTCAGGGGCAGTTCAGGGGGGGAGGCTGCGTCGCGAGTCGGTCGCTTGAATTCTCAGGAAGAGCCGAGCGAAAGTTTTGTTTGCGCGGTGTTGCAGCCGCAGGCATCGGCGACAAACCGGCTTGGAGAGAAGAAAAAACACAACCTTCCCTATCATTGAAAGTAGCAACCTCTCCGCATGGGATTTTCTGCCCTGCCCTGTCGCGGCCCCGCCTGCCTCCCGGAGGCCCGCCCGGCCATGCAATCCGCCGCCGGACCGCCCGGCGGGTCCAACCGAAGCGGGCGACCGGCCGTTCGCACCGCTCGGCCGACGGGGCGAGCCCCGCGGCCCTCGATCGCTCGCCCCGGGAAGTGGCCCGACCGGCCCACGCGCACGGCCTGGCCTCTACTGCCACTTTCGGCGGCGCAATTTGCGCCTTCATCGCTCTCTGGATCCGCCTGGCACCCATCGAACTCCTCCCGACGGTCGGCGGCGCCCACCCCGTGCCTGGCGAGTACAGACCACGCCTGCTATTCACAGCACACGCCCTCGCCGTGGGCTCGGGCATCCCCTGTGAAAAGGTGAGGCGTGGTCTGTTCTCGCGCCGGCGCCCGGCTCGACGCGATACCGTGGGCGCTCCGGCGGATGCCGACAGCGGGATCGGCCCACAGTGCCGCGCAAGCCCAGCCACACGAGGGACCGGCAGCAGGGACCTCGAGTGCGCAGGCGGGGACCGAGCAGGAGGAGCTGCGCGCGGCAGCGAGGCGGCAAGCAGAGGCGAAGCAGCGGCGAGAGAAACGGTCGGCGGAGGACGCTAGGTGGTGGCGGGCGGCGTGGCGCGAGATGGAAACCGCCCGCGCCAGGGTCCTGCAGATTGCGCAGCTCGTCTCGGGAGGGCTAGGAAGGGCGCGGTACCCAGAGGTGCTCCTCGTCGAGCATTCGCCGCTGCTGATGGAGCTGCTGTGCCGGCAGTTCGAGAAGCAGCCCCCGGGGGCGAGCTGCTGGGGGGCACGAGACACGCCACAGCGGACGAGGCGCAGCTCGTCGTCATGGCGAGCGCCATCGCGGGCAGGGCGGAGGACCTGTACCGCACCGGCCGCATGGGGCCGAAGGATCGCGGCGCGCGCTGCGTTCCAAAAGAGGCGGTCGAGGCAGCTGCCGCCGCGTCGGGTCGACCCGCCGCCGCTGCGGCCGAGGGAGCGACCACCGACGGGGTGCTGGGGGGGCGGCGGCGGCCCGGGCGGCGAGGCCCGCCTCGCGCTCTTCGGCGAGCAGGCAGGTTGCTGCGCGCAGATGGTTGGCATCGCCGCCGAGTTCAGCGAGCGCGGCGGCAGCCACCTCACCGAGCAGGCGGTGCGAGAGCTTCTCACGGCTGCGCGACGTGAAGAGTGGGCTATGAAAGGCAAGCATACACGCTGGCGCTACTCATCTTCCACAGCGCAATGACGACAAGGGCGGCGGACACCCTCGAGGAGGCGGTGCCAGGATTGGCAAGATACGTGGCCCAGCAGAGGACCAGCGGGCAGCGACTGGAGGCGACGAGGTATGACGTCGCGGGGACCGTCCGCCGCTGCGTGGGAGAGGCGAGACGTGTCGCGGAGAGAGCTACGCAGGGGGACCTGCGACGGTGGGACGGAGGGAGGGACGGAGACCGCGAGCTGAGGCCACGGTTCCCGGCTGTCGAGGTGTGCGCCGGTGCGCTCGAGGATGCCCTCGCTCGCGGCGCCACGTTCGTGATGCGGAGCGGGGTGATCGACTGCTCGGGCCAGCACCCGCGCGGCTTCCTCCTTCAGTCGCACTGGAACAAGGCCGCGTTTAGCCGCTACCACCGCCGCGCGGCAGCAGCCCTGCTGCGCCCACAGTCGGGGCGGTACCAGACTGGATGGTACTCGAAGACAAAGACGGTGCTGACCACGGCAGCGCAGGGAGGGGCGCCGCAGAGGCGCAACAAGCCCGGCAGGAGGGAGAGAAAGGAGCTGCGGCGCCAGGAGCAGCCGAGAAAACAGCAGCGCGCATCGGTACCGCTAGCGCCGCCGCCAGCGTCCCTGCCCTCGTCTTCGTCACACACCGCGCCCAGTGTAACGACCGTGACGTCCGTGGGTGTGTCTGAGGAGTCTCCCAACTATCGGGGGGGGGGGGGGGGGGACCGTGGTGGGGCCCCCGGGACGCCACTCCTCCCGGCGGGCGGCGGATGACGAGAGACCGCCGCCGTCGACGCCGCCGTCGCCGCCCGAGCCAGTCGGCCCCGCGCCTGCCTACCCACCGCCAACAGGACCGGCGCACGGGAAGGAGTACTCCTCCGACGAGGACGGGGACGGCCCCTGCGCGACCGCAGGTCGGGGGCACCGCCGGCGCCGAGACTCTCGCCGTCCTCGAAGGGGGCGGCAGTGTGCGCGGGGGCGCGAGAGGGCCAGCGGGAGGCCACTCCCCCCAGCCGCCGGTGGGCGATGAGGGGCCGTCGCCGTCGGCACCGCCGTCACCGCCCGAGCCCGTCGCCTCCGTGGGGACTGACGCGGAGGCGGCGCGAGCAGGGGAACGGGCGGCGCATCGGGACCTACGCGCTGCGCACGAGAACTGGAAGGCGCGGGAGGCCGCGGAGCGCAGGGCACGGACGGCGCTCGACGCGGCACGGCAAACGTGGGAATGCGTGCGTCCAACCAACTGAAGCTGCTATGGGAGCGGGCCCTCTTCACTCCGGCCGGAGACGCCATGGGGTACTACGAGCTGCACCGCAAGCAGTCGGAGGTTGCGTTCCACCACTCTCTGGAAGTCGATCGCCTGGGCGGCCGGTTCGAGAGGTGCGTGCAGAGCCTCTCCGACGCGTGTGCACACGTGCGGCACGCGGAACCGAGTCTCTTGGGGGTCCTGGGCCATGCCCCCCCCCCCCCCAGCATGTGGTGGAGGCGCTGGGGGGGTCGGGACCCCCCCCTAGCATGTGGTGAAGGTGCTGGGGGGGGTCGGACCCCCCCCCTAGCATGTGGTGTGGAGAGAAGGGCGCCCCCCTCCCTGGAAGCGATGTCCGCCTGCTCTCCTACGCTGAGGCGCTCGGAGCCCTGGGTGACCTCGAGACAGGCGGTGGCGCGGGCGGGGAGGCGGAGTCACACGACCGCCCACCCTCCTCCCTGGGCTCCAGGCCCCAAATGACGTGTGAGTGTTCGAGTTGTTTGGTATTGCTAAAAAATCTCTCCCTCGGGCTGTTCCATCTTCCCATCTCCTTCCAGCTCAGGCGAGGCGGGGGGGGGGCGCGGGTGCGGGGTGCGGTGCGGTGTGAGTGTGTGTGCATGTCGTGTGGCTTCAGCAAATGTCCATCCGTCTGTGTTCTTTTTAACCACCAAGGTAGGTAGGTAGGTAGAAAGGTGAAGAACAGCCAGGCTCGGACTGGACACCAACGCGGTATGGGTGGACGCTAGACAGATGATGACGACACGCACGAGCGACACACAGACACAAACAGGCTCACAAGACACACAGCCAAGGCGCTCTCAAAAACAAAAGAAAACATCGGCACAACTTTTGTCGGCTAGTGAGCAGCACCCTCCGCCTCCGATGAGACGGCACGTCGCCAGCCTGCTGCTCCTCCACGGCGTGGCCGGCCTCTCGTTGCGGCACGCCGCCGCGCCTCGGACGGCGCCGCGTGCCGCCGCGCCGTCCATGTGTGGCATCCTCGCCGTCGTCAACTCGAAGCTCTCTCCTGAGGCGCTGCGGTTGCAGACGCTCACACTGCAGCGGCTCGTGCGGCACCGAGGGCCGGACGGGAGCGGGATCCACGTGGTGGAGACGCCGACGGGCGCGCGCTGCTCCTCCGTCGCCCACGAGCGCCTCGCCATCGTCGACCCGCTCTCGGGGAACCAGCCGCTCTTTTCGCATGACCGATCGCGCTCGCTGACCGTCAACGGCGAGATCTACAACCACAAGCAGCTGCGAGCGGAGCTCAAGGACCCGACGGCGTTCCGCACCGAGTCGGACTGCGAGGTGATCGTCCACGGCTACGACGAGTTCGGCGTCGACATCGCCTCGAAGCTCGACGGTGACTTTGCGTTTGTGATTCTCGACGACCAGACCGGCGACGTCTACGCGGCGCGCGACCCCGTGGGCGTAAACTCGCTCTACATGGGCACCGGCCTGGACGGCTCCACCTGGTTCTCGTCCGAGGCCAAGCCGCTCGTCACGGGCGGCTGCATCGACGTGCGCATCTTTCCCCCCGGCCACTACTACCTCGCGCGTGGCGGCGAGGAGGAGGGGCGGCTGGTGCCGTATTACGCGCCCTCGTGGCACTCTGCCTCCGCCGCGACCCAGCCCCTCAACCTGGAGAAGCTGCGAACCACCTTCACCGCCGCCGTCGAGAAACGGCTCATGGCGGACGTGCCATACGGAGTCCTCCTCTCGGGAGGCCTCGACTCGTCGCTGGTCGCGTCTGTCATCGCGCGGCTGAAGCGGAAGCGCTTTCTTGAGCATGGCAAGGTGTGTCGTGCGTACAAGTCCTTCTCCACGTCTCCCGCACATCTCCCGCACATCTCCCGCAAATCTCCCGCACATCTACCGCACATCTCCCGCACATCTCCCGCACATCTCCCGCACATCTCCCGCACATCTCCCGCACATCTCCCCATATCTCCCGCACACCTCCCGCACGCAGGTGGACGACCTGCAGCCGGTCAAGTCCTTCTCGATCGGCCTCGACGGCTCGCCCGACTTGGCAAACGCGCAGAAGGTGGCGGAGTTCATCGGCACCGAGCACTACGGCTTCACCT